TAAGACACATTTATGTATTATCTAATCAGAATTCTAATACGAATCTAATAAGACTCCCATGCATCCCATGCAAAATCTAATAAGAATCCCACTTACACTTACGTGTATACAATAAATCCTATGACGAAAGTCCGCTTGATATGTATTTATTATTTATTCTAGCCGCGTTTGTGTCACAATTTCATATATGTCACACAATCACGAGATCACAGTTTTCCAATCACCGATCATTAAAAACAACATGTTTTCCACTTTCGATCACTTCGCCACTCGATTCTTAGCAGAATATTCGATTAAATTGTAACATAAACGTAAGAACGTAACATGTAAGGCACGGTGCCCATTAGAATTCACAGTCGGAATGTAAGTTGATGCGATAGTTACGGTAACGCGGCAGCACGGTCGATGATGGGGCGACAGTGGGGGATATGTAGAGTTTGGGGCGGAGTAGTCGGGCGGGGATAATACCTGGTGCTATCTGTTGGGGACATTTGGAGATGGATCGATGGAGCATTTCGTAGAGGTTCTAAAATAGATATGAGTTTAGTACGTTTCGGACCATGCTCGTTTGTCGAATCTGAGTATGAAGTCGAATCGCTCGTATCTCGAAGCATTTTTTCTCATACAAATACATTAAATTCGTTTTAGTACTGTTGATCTTGTGTAAGTTTTTTGAATGTTAAAAATATATTTACTGTTTATTAATTTGAAATTGTGTTTCCCTATCCATTTGTAAAATTGCGTAAATGAGGCATGTTTTGTTGAACAACTATCATTCTGGAACTGTTGTCACTCTTTCGGAATGATTTTTATCCACAAACTTTCAGAGCTTAAAAAACTGTCTAATGAAATATTGCAAGGAGTTACACCCTTCAACAACTCTTGTCTGAATACAGTGTGATTTCAACTACAAACTAGTGAGGTGCATGGCATCGTGCCTTAAGGCAAATTGCTGGAACTTTCCGTACCGTAATTAAAACCTTTGGTACAAAACCCCAAAAAAAATTACACAAAACATTTTTGACCACCAAATGACTTTGAATTATTAAAATCGGTTGATTGGTGTTCCCGAAATCGTCGACGAAAGTTTGTATCCGCACACACACACACACACATACACAAACATACACACACACATACACACATACACACACGCATACACACACATACACATATACGGCATATACGCACACGTACATTCATTTTTTCTAAGGTATGCCAAAATGTTCAGAAATCGCTAAAACGTAAAGTTATATAAAAATTTTCATTTTCGATTTTTTTGCGATTACTATAAGCCTACGGAAAGTTAAAAATTGCGAAAGTTTATACTGTAACCAAGGTCGTATGTCGATCAATTTTTTCTATATAAATACATTGAAATGCCATTACTCCGTTTCAACCAACCCCAATTTCTCCCCTAACTTCACCTGTTTTTTTATTACCTCTTTATTACGTTCTTTTTCAATTTTTTTTAAAATTCAGATTTATATCAATTGTTCAAAAATCAAAAATAATTTTTCTGCATATCTTCACGTTTCAAAACTTTCTGATCGTTTGGCATACCCTGGAAAAAAATGTATGTATGTGTATGTGTGTGTATGCGTTTGTGTGTATGTATTTGTGTGTGCATGTGTGGATACAATTTTTTGACGACGCTTTTGACGGTCGACGGGTCAACCGATTTGAATGATTCAAAAACAGTCGATTCCTATTGATAAGGACAAGTGCCGCTTAGTTTTTGACAAAGGCAGGTCAACCTGTTCGGGAAATATATAGCAAAAAGTACTAAAAATGGCTGTTTTTAGAAAAACAGAGCATCTGATTTGAATAACTCAAAAACTATTATACTTGCGTTAATTGAATGAAGATTTGATTACATTTTTGCAAAGGCAGGTGCAGCGATTTTAGAGACGCAGAAAAATTTTGACATTTGTTGGTCAAATATGATCCTTACAAATCATTATCTATTATTGATTCATATACGCATAGAATTTGTTGTAAATAAGTAGACAGGTAGATAGGTAAATAGATATAGAAGTAGAATATGAAAAAAGTGTCTATTTTTAAAGTAAGCTAGTTGACAGTTATAACCAATAAACAGGTGGATAGGTTAATTAGTAATCAAATGAAAAAGAAGAAACAAATCAAATAAACAAGATTGGTAGTCTTATAGACAAGTCAACTGGTTAAAAAGTAGATAGGTAGACAGGTAAACAGATGGACAGATAGACAGACAAACAGATCAGTAGACAAGTAAAAAAGTGTTAAACTTTTATATCAGTTACGTATTTCAAGAGAAGCACAAAAAATCATCACCATTTTATCATTTTATTTGAATATATTAATTCAAAACAACTTGCGGCATCTAGCACCGTTAAAATACACTGCAAAATATCAAAAGTGCACGTCTTGTATAAATTAGTCTCATAAATATAAAAAAATCTTAGCAATGTAATGCTAATGGCAGGATAATTTCTTCAGGAATACGAAAACTTCATAAAAATAATTCAAACTAAATTAACCTACAAAAAATAAACCTACAAAACACTTAATAATAGCGAGGTTAATGTGCAAACACTTACAAAATAGAAAAAATATGATTAAATTTTTAGTCGGACATACTTATGCACTTTTGGTACTTTTACTTCAATACTCATTTAACCAACTCAGAAGTTGAAGATGTATATTAATCTAAATATACTAACCTAAAGTCACAAATTTTTTAATCAACGTTTCACACTAACTGGAAATACTTACAAAAATGTATATAATAATAATATAACTTAACTATATAATATAAATACATAAATTACTTCCCCTGTCCCTCCATCTTTTTCCTATACTTCTTGGCTTTTTTATAAAAACACAAATACACTATCAAATATTTTGCCACTATTAAAAACACTACAGTACATCCTATAAATAGTCATTGTGAACCTGGGAATAAACAAGGACCCAACTTAGGATCTTCCGGCAAATGGTTATGTTGGACAACTTTAGGAGGGATTTGATTAACCACAGGACCAGCTGCATAATAAACTGGTGCATAAGTCAACTTTTTCTGAGTAACTTTGGTAAAACAATGGTCAACTGGTACACAAGTGGTATCATCAGCACTTCTGAGAACGTATCCGATTTTACATTGGCAGGTGAAAGCTGCCGGGCAAGTTTTGGAGCAGTTTGGTAACTGCTTCCTGGTCAACATATCACATGTGATAGGATTTGGATTGGCGCACATTCTCCATTCAGAATTTGGTGGACATGTGAATCCTCCAGGACATTCTGATGGCGGTACACAAATTCCTTCATCATTTAAGACGTAGCCATCGTAGCAAACACATGAATCTGGTAAGCAAGGAAGTGGACAAACTTGTCTAGGAAATAAAAAGTTTTTGCAAGTTATTGGACAAGCTGTTGCACATTCGACACGTTTTGAATGTGGACCACATGGTACTTTTTTTGTAACACATTTGTTGTCCTTGTTGAGTTCGAAACCTTCCTTACAAACACATTTGTAAGTCGGTTTGTCTTTGGGTAAATCGTTGCTTGGGTAAGGAATTCTTACTAGGATCTCGTTTTCCGAACATATATCTGGGCAATCCTGCAAACAATTGGACAAAATAAAATCCAAGTATTTTTATTTTAAATATTTATAGTTACCTCTAACAGCACACAATCATCAGAATTGATCCTGTAATAACCATCCTTGCAAATTAGGGCTCCTTGTTTACTTCCCTTGACCAAAACTTCTTCACCATCATTCAAATTTGCAGGACAATGTCGTTCATAAATTTGTCCTTCGTATAAAAATGTCTGATTTGATGTTGGTGGTTTTTCACATTGATTTTCTGTGCCATTTCCACAACTCAAAGTGGTAGAATTTAGAGATATTTCATCCAAATCGAAATATTCGGCTTCGTCTGATGACATTGGCATCGGTTTCTTTTCTACATCTGGTATAAAAAATATTTATTTTAAATATAATTATATATAAAATTTTCATTATTATTACAATATATTCAGTCAAGTTTTTTGACTAATTTATAATAATCCGATTCATATGAAACCGATAATACCAAAATCTAGTACAAAATTATTTCTTCTTCATTTTATGTTACATAAGTAAATAAAATATTTAAAAAAAACTGTATAATTAAAAACAAATATCCATAGATATAATTATTAATTATCCAATCAAATTTCCATATATATTTGAAGAAATTCTTACAATAGAACAAATCCTAAATATGTTTTATACTAAGTTTCTGGCATCAAAATTTACATACATTTTGCTATGTTTGAGTATTTGCAAATAATTATATTTAGAAAATTTTAATTCGAGTAATAAATATAAATCGAACTTACCTTTGGAACAAACGATTGCAATACTGTAAAATACCAAAAAAATGAACCAAGAATAGTTTGCCATTATTTGGTGCAGCATTTAATTTTAAACATCCAAACTAAATTATATAACTACAATTTTTTATAAATACTAATTATATAAATTACTCCACTTTACTGATTATGAAAAATGACAATTTGAAATATATTTTTAAGTGCAACTCTTTATATAAATTAAAAAAGCGGAACTGTACACATATTGTTGATGTGTACTCTTCCTTATTTATTTGTTACGAAATTTTTGTTACATTATAAAATAAATTTCTTTATACAACCTATTACCTATATTCAAAATCTTATATGGATTTGAAAATTTGAAATAAATTTTTCTTTAGATTTTTATACAATTAAATGATTTTCAGCGTTGTAATGTCAATACATGCATTTTTATGTGCCTTTTTTTAGATGATCTAATTAATAACTGTTTATATTTGATATTTTATTGATTCTTTAGTTTATATGGTTTTTGTATTTTTAATATATGTAATATCCAAAATATATTGAATATTTATATGTCATTGTTTAAATTGCTTACGATTGCATTTTTATGTGTACAAACAGTTCTAATTCCATACTGAAATATGATATATTGCATGACAAATATATATATATATATATATATATATATATATATATTTCTAATAAAAAGTTTCACTAGATAAATTTAAAAAATGTAGAATTTTTTTACATGTAACAATATTTTATAAGTAAATTTGGGTCTTCAAATTAAGGGTCTTAATCATGACTGCAGAGTATTAAAAATTATATAAAAATATTTATTTATTATAATAATATTTACAATAAATACTTCAGTAAACTAGGTTTAAGGTAAATTAAGGCATAAAATAAAAAAAAACTAATTAAAAACTAACTATATACTCTTAATCTTCTAAGCACTCGATAGTAAAAAATTGGTTATCATATCTATTGCTGAGAGCAATGATGTTTTTATTATTACTTTATTATCATAGTAAAATTTATTTAACCAATTATTTAAATTTATTTAAAATTAATTTATTTTTTTCTTTTTTATGCTCTTATTTGAGGCGAAACATAATTAACAGAAATATACTTCCTACATTCTTCTACAGATTTAGGAACACAAACTCTGGAATTTTTCGTCAACCTCACAAAACCAGGTTGACATTCACATGCATGTGCATAACATTTACCATCGCATTTATCAGGCAATTCTACACCCAACATAGTTGCACAAGTCTCATAACAGTTTCTTCCACAATGTGTTAACCACTCGTTGATTTGACATCGTTCAATAAAATTACAAGCCTTAGGATCGGTCAAACAATTGGTTAGACTTACCAGGTTGGTTTGTTGGGGAACACAGACACCTTGGTAGTTTCTCATGAAACCATTTTTGCATTGGCAAGTGTAATTGCCAAAGTATGATGATGAGATGTCTAGTACTAATATGCCAACTTCGTTGGCTCCACATAAAAACTGGGATTCACATTGGGATGGAGTGACACATTTGCCTGAAGAATTTCTTACATAACCTTCAGCACATTGGCAAGTATTTTTTTTGCAGTCTTGATAACTTGCACCCAAAGCTACCTGTCCTGTAAATTTGTCACAGTAGTCATCTTGCTGAGTTGCACAATTTGTCCAAACTTCGTTTTCGCTACAGGTTACTGCATTGGAGCAACAACTTAAAGGAACACATGAACCATCAAGGTCTCTTACGTAACCTGGTTTGCACTTGCAGGTGTTCAAAATGCATTGCAAGGTGCATGGTGTGGGTTCCTGGTCGCCTAAAGCAATTGCACATGTTTCTGGACATACACTTCCACAGTTTGTCCATTCTTCATTCTGGCCACAAGATATTTTACAATCGCTTTCCAAGACGCAAGTTCCCCAATCGTTCCTGACGTATCCAGGAAAGCACTCACAAGTGTTTAATATGCAGGAATCCTCAGACACAATATTAGTGGTTGCGAAGGTATTGCAACTAGCAGGCTGTGCTTTGCCACAATTTGTCCAGACTTCATTTACACCACAAATTGTTACGCCTGGACACTCTTGGGGAAGTACACAAGCACCAGAACCATCTCTTACATAACCAGCTTCACAAACACATGTGTTCACCCTGCATTCGTAAGTGCATACTTTAGGGAGCTCCAAACCTAATGTAGTGTTGCATGTTGGTTCACAAGAAGTACCACAATTTGTATGAACTTCGTGTACACCACAAGTCACCGGACAAGATGATTCCGGTACGCAGCTACCATAGACATCTCTAACAAAACCATCTTTACAAATACAAGTATTTTTTCGACACTCACTTACTTGCTCGTAAAAACCAGGATCAGAAACATCTTGGCAAGTTTTTTCTGTTTCAGGTCCACAGTTCGTCCAAATTTCATTAACCCCACATTGAACAGCTTCTGGACATTCTGAAGGAAGTACACAAGTGTAGTTGGTGCTCATTATATAACCAGGCGCACACTCACAAGTATTGAAGATACAAACATCAGCACAAATTCCGTCGTTTGATTCTAGTCCTAATTCTTGAGCACAAGTTTGTGGGCAAATGGTACCACAACTTGTCCATTGTTGGTTGATTTCACATTCAGTTTTTACCGGACATTGGGAACGGGGAACACATTTACCAGTTTCATCTCGAACGTGGTCATTGCGACATTCACAAGTATTGGGAACGCATTCGTAGTTGCAGATTGGTGGTTCCACAAAACCAGCTAAAAGGGTAATTTGTAATATTCTAATGGTATTATATTCACAATATGTATCTAATTTTATTTTTACCATATGTTTCGCAAGTTTCTTCACAATCCGTCCCACAATTTGTCCAAACTTCACCGTTGTCCTCGTCGCAAATTTTATGCCCACTGCATTCCTCAGGAGCTATGCAATCTCCAAAATCATCCAGGACATACCCTTTTTTGCAAACGCAGAAGTCAAATCCACAATCATAGGTGCAATCATCTGTTGATGTATTGTTGAGGTACATCTCGCATGTTAAGGGACATTTGTATTTGCCGTTGCTGGGGATGAATTTTGGACCACATGGTTTCTGGGGACAAACTGAAAAAGAAGTAGAATATGACTTTTCTTGCATACTTTTTTAGAACACTAACCTAATACTAAAGACTTGAATTTAGACAAATATATATATGATGCTGATTATAAGGTTTAGTAGCTTCTGCACAGTTTGACCCCTTACAATGTACATTTGTTTCCCTTGGCAATCTAGCTTCCTCTTGTCTAAAAATTGGACAATGCTCTCTCAAAATGCAATTATCATCTTCATCCAAGACATATCCATCAGCACAAATGCAACTTTCAGCAGAATCAAAATTATTCTCACAACTGACCAAATCTACTCCATTTATCGTGGGACATCTATACTGGCATATCATATCGGAGTCACTGAGGACTTCATTTTGTTTGCAAATTGTTCCGGAATTGTTCTCAATATAAATTTGATAATAAGAACAGTCTTCAGGTAGAACACAAGTGTTGTCGGAAGCCCATAAATAGCCTTCTTGGCAAATGCATATTTCTTGAATTGAAGAGTCGAAACATATTTCATCTTCTGGTTCATCTAATGAGTTGCATGTTAGTTGGCAAATGTAAGGGTTTTGGTTTAGTTGGTGTCCAAAGTTTTTGCATGTGCCAGCTGGAAGGATTGGAGATTCTGAATGGTTGACCTTTTTGTAAAATCTTAAGTTTTATAGAATCTCATTCATAGAATGATATGCGTGTTTTTATATGGTCAACAAATGTAGCTAGATGATTCAAAAATTTTTTTTTTATTTATAATTAGTGTACTGTATAAATTTAACTCAACTTTTGGCGAAATAAATATGCCATCACTAATTATATATTAATAAAAATTAATGAAAATAAATTATAGATAAATTAAAGATAGATTTACTATCATATGCTATTAAAGATTTTATAATGATAGGCTTACTTACTCTCAAATGTGAATCCAAGAGATGTTCCACAAACTAACAAAGTAAAATAAAATAAACAATTTGCCATTATGTGAAAAAATGTGAACAGACAAAAAGTTTTTTGAAAGAAATAAGAAACGTTTATATATATGGCATTCAAAACGTGCCTTATCTTTTCTCAGAATGTTGTACAATATTTTTTGCGTTTAATTTTAGTTAAAAATTAAGAAATAACATCAAAATGGTTATAAAACGTATATTTTATGTAACTAATATGAGAAGCATAACCCATTAAACATATTTTTGATAATAATAAGCAACTATTTTTTTTTAAATCTCAGTTTCAAAATTAAATATCATTTTTTTAACAATTTTGAAAAATCTATGAATAAAGTAGATCTCCATGTTTGAATACAATTTTAATTATACATTTTTATTGAAGAATTCAGGTTGTTATAACTAACCCCAGGTATCATTTTTTTACATCAATCTAGATACTATTTAAAAGCATTAAATCAACCACAAAAATAGATACTCATTATTAAAGATTGATAAATTTGAAACAAAATAAGATATACAAAACATAAAATCAGGTGGTAATAATAACACAAACCAAAATTTTATCATAGAACAATTTTATATCACATGTCAAAAATGACGGACCTGCGCAATTTTGTTTACCACGTCAGCTTGCAGATATGATAATATTATGTAGAACGGTTTACTCCGCCAATTGAGACAAAAAATATTTGGATATTGTTCAATATTTCATTAAAAAAACGACTGTTTCTACTTACCCCTAGTTCCCTCATATACAATAAAATACAGATTTGAAATTTATTCAGATTTATCGTAAACAATTCAAATAATCGAACAAAATTAAATATTATTGTAAGTTTTCTACCTCTGTCAAACTTACACGTGCAGTTTATTTATACAATATTATTTCATTCATAATTTTAGAAACAAATCGTGATATTTTAGCATTTTCAACAATGTATTTTTTGCACAAAATCACATTACGCAAATTCTGATTTTTGCAAAAAATATTCAGTTTTATATTATACACTGAAAGATTAAGAAGATTTTTTGCAATGAAGATTTTGCTTTTTATTGCATTTTTATTTGGGGTCCTAGCTACAGTTTTTACATATCCAGGTATGATAGTATAATTAAAATAAATATACAAATAGATATTTCCATGCATAAAAAATATATAAAAAAATTCGTTAATTATAAAACCTTACAAAATATCGTGATCATTTGTTTTCCTCAAAATCACTCCTAGCTCACTTGATTCCCACATTATTATAATTTTTTTTATTGCAATTTTGCGAATTGTCAATCCGAATAGTTCATTATCTTAAAAGATTTTACGCTTATTTTGTTTTAATATACAGGATTTAATATGTTAGCTTTAAAATCCTTATAACAAATTTATTACAGCAAAAAATCAAAAGGTTTTTCATAGAATTGTAAGAATCAAATATCTTGGTATGAATTTTTGTATAAACCTGCAATAAACTATTAATAATAGTCGAACTGATAACTATATATTTTGGAAAAATTAAATGTTTGTAAAAATATCAGTTTTATATACATTTTTAAAACCAAATTTATAACTATTAGACCTGATTAAAAGGTGAGCATATAAGTCAATGCAATTTACTCATACATCAAATACGAACTGTTCTAGAATTTTTTTTTCTAAAATTTGATAATCGTATTTAATATGATTATATTGTGTTAAATACTATTATCAAATTTAAAAAAAAAATTCAAAGCCAGATGTTTTAATAATTTTTAAAAATATTATTATTCTCTTCATTCCCAGATAAAACAAATAATATCATAAAATGTACAAGAGAATTCGAACTCTACGATTCTTGTTTTCTGGAGGATTGCGAAAAAACTTGTTTCAACTATGAAAATTTCCCTGAAGATGACTGTAATGAAATACCAGACGTTTGTACACCAGGATGCTCTTGCAAAAAAGGATATGTCAGGATTGAACCAGGATCGAATTGTGTCAGGAAGGAGGAATGTCATAAACATATAGAGCAAACCGAATCGTGGTTTCAGTGGATTCTTGATTATTTATATTATTTATTCTTTTCTTAAAAAGGAATAATCATAATCGAAGAAAAAAAATTGCCTTTTATGTACATTTCAAATCATTCAAAATATTATTGATTTGAATATTATGATTTGTTGAAATATATTATCTTTAAAATGTGCTGTTATTTTAGTTTGCCTCTCATATTTTTTGCGATGTAAGAAAATATAAATTGAATTTCAGCCAATTTTAATTTCTAAGAAATAAAATATTGAAAAATAAATAGCAATAAGAACGTGTATTTTGTTTTTGTAAAAAAATCATGAGTATTGTAATAAACCCCTGATGTACTTTTATAGTTAATTCGACATTTTTCTAAAAATAAACCACGAGTTAGATAATAAAAAATAAAATTGAAGTAAAATATTTCAATTTAAAACATTAATTGTCTAAAATCTAGATCGACTTCTTTCTAAAAATAAAGCATTATTAATTAATTAAAATTAAAGTAAAATAAAAACAAAATAGTCAACTATATTTATTAAATAAATAAATTTTGACAGCTTTTATCTAAATTTTGTGTATTTAAATTATTTTAAATATATTTTGTAATTTTCCATATTATAGTACTAAAGCATTGTACACATATGCAATTTTTCTATAATTTGGCATTTTCATTGCTCGAATTATATTTGATATAAAATTGTGAATATTGATTTTTTTTTCAAAATATTTCTAAATACCTTTCAAGTGTGTCGATTTGTTAATTTAGTTAATTTTTATATTGTCTTTAATATGTGTCAATTATTTTATTACCGTAATTCAAAATGCAATAAAATAATAATATGCATAACCCAAATGCAAAATTGGACTTCTAAACTAAAAATTATAAATTAAATGAGATACTAAATGGGATATAATTGCTTATAGAACTATTTTTTGCATTTTTCCTCAAATCGCTTCAAAATATTTTTTTCCAAAGTTTGATTAGCATCTTCTTATATATAAAATTGAAGTTCGATAAAATGTTAGGTATGAAAAGGCTCTAAAACGGCTGAACAAAGGCTTGGTCAGTCTTAGTCTTGAAAAATTCGTTTAATCCAGAGATTGTGCAAAAGGTAAAACTTTACATTTTTAATTTAAAATTTTGTGTAAAAGTGTGATTTATAATAAAACAATCGATTTCGGCTCATACGTCAAATGTCGAATGGTTTTGACAGATTAAGTATGTTCGATTAAATTTTCTACGGTGGCTTAGATAAATATTTCTTAGAACTAGTATGTAATATTATTTCACATCAAACAATTCTTTATTTGAAATATGAGTAAATTAAATTAATTCCTTCAGGATGTCTAATTTAGAAAAAATAATAAATATTTTCACTAATATTGATTCGTTAAAAAAACTAATATTCGAACAGTTTCAAAGTTAAGTTTAATAAAATTAAGTAATCAATAATAGTTTAATAGAAGTTTAGTCAAAAATCTAAACCATATTATTTGTTTCCTACAATTCTAAGAAGAACCATACTATTGTATTTCGTAGTTAAACCTGCATCTAAAATAAATATTTTAATTGAGCTTAGAGAAATTTTTGTATATTTTATAATAGCCAAATAAGTGAAATAAATAACATGTTAAGTGAGAAGAAAATATTTCATGATATTCCTGCTACGTCATCTCATGGATCAAAAAGGGGATTCCTTTACATTTCGTCGTAAAATTTACATATTACTTTTTATATAATATTTAGTTTGTTAATTTATCGCAAACATACGTCGATTCAAAACACACATATGATTTATATGTTCTTATTACATCACCAAACAAGGTCATGGTCGAATCCGCTCTTATATAAGGAAGACATCTAAGGTGAAAATCTCAGTCGCGATATTTTAAAAATAATATTAACAGTTCCTTAATAAAATAAAAATTAAAACAATCAATATGCGTTATTTCAGTACATTAATGTTCGTTTTAGTTGTGTTTGCTGCATTATTTGCAATTGGTAAATATTGATGATAATCCAATTCCAATCACATATATTAGTCTTTACTATGTATAAATTTTATTTGAAGGTAATGCCGAGACTTGCAACAAGAAAAATCAAGAATATACAAGTTGTGGATCAAGTTGTCCTGAAACTTGTGATAATTATCAAGATAAAAATCTTATATGTATTGCTATGTGTCGAGTAGGATGCCAATGTGTACCAGGATATATTCTAAATGCATCAGGAGATTGTGTCAGACCTGAGGAATGCTGATTGGAATCAAACAAAACTTTTGCAATAATTGTACCATTTTCTGAATACATATATTTTAAAAGATATTTTAAATCTAATTGTGTGGAAATTTAAATTTTGTTATAGTTTCGAGAGTGAAAGTTGGTGTTTCATTATTAACTTTCCTTAGAGTAAATTATAGTAACCGTCATAAAATCGAAAATAAAATTTTTTGCACGTTTCAAAGGTTTTTGAACATTATGGCATACCTTAAAACAATCAGATGTGTGCAGATACAACGACGGTTTCGGTAACACAGATCAACCGATTTGAATGATTCGAACGTTTGATTTCCAATAATGGGGAGACGTGATCATTAGTTTTTGGCAAAGATCCAGCCTTTTTGGAGATACAGAGCAAAAAGTGAAGAAATCAATAATTTATTTTTTGCGAGAACGGGGCATCCGATTAGATTGATTCAAAATACATTCGACTTGTGTAGACTGTGAGACGAGCTGGTTAGTTTTTGGCAAAAGCAGATTTATCCCCTTGGGAAATACAGAGCAAAAAGTGCTAAAAATTACAGTTTTTGAGAAAATGCAGCATCCGATTCAAAAAACATGTTGATTTTGTTGACAATGTGAATTAACTATTATTTTTGGTAAAGGCATTTTTTTCTATTTTAAAGGCATTTTTTTCTATTTTAAAATTTCAAATAAATTTTAATTTTCAAGATTTATTTTTAAATATGCAAACTGATTCTGAATTTAATTATAAATCTAGCTAAATTTTAAAGCTCACTTATATACTTAAAATGAGTAATTTTAACTTTGCAACTTAGTTTACATACTTCTTAGAAATATGAGATAGGCTCCCGTCATTCTAACTCTGCTTGATTAAGTTTTTTTTATTTCGTTTTCATGAAAACATACATAAACGTCATCGTCCGATTCATAAGCTCTTATATTTTGTCTATATAATACAAATAATGAAAGTTGCATTATTTATAATAATCTATTTGAAAATATTTAAAATTAATTTAATATTTTACATTACAGTACGGGAAGTTCCTGCAATTTGCCTTAAAGCATGATGCAATACACCACAAGTTTCATAATTAAATTTATTTTTAATAATACTGTGAAACGTATCAATCAGTCAATTAACGAAATGATAAATTTGAAGATAAAATCTATTGTGTGATAATTTAGTCATTAAAATTTAAGAGTTTGTTTATTCGCAAATCAATTTTAAGATTATTGATGATAGAATATTAATTTTTGTTATCGAAAATACGTAATAAGGCCAGAATAATCAAATGTATATAAATGGAAGAGTTCTAACATAATTCTAACGTGATCAGTTTATAAAGTGTAATAAAAAAATATTTTGAAACTTTGAACAATTTCAGCATAAAAATGCAAAGTGTAAAATATCTATTGTTCTCTTTGGTGGTGGTCACTTTAACATTATATTCAAGTAAGACATTTTTTTTTATTATTAAGAAAAAATTTGTATATCTTTACGTTCCAAAGGATTCTGAATATTTTGGCATACCTTACAAAAAATGGAAATATGTGTGCGTGTTTGTGTGTGTGTGCGGATACAAATTTCTGCGCTTTGATATATCGTCTCTATGCAGCTTAAACTTTGCGATTGCTTTAAATATTTAAAAAAAAGAAATATTGTTTTTCCAGAAGTTTTTTTTTCCCAAAAATTCTTTTTTTGTTCAAAAATTTAAAATTTCTCAAATCAAATTTGTTCAAAGTTTAAAAATAAAATTAACCTTTTTGTTTAAAATTAATTTTTGGTACGGAAAGTTCCAGCAATTTGCCTCAAGGCACGATACTAGTTCTAAATTGGTCCCACTCGATTCAGAATGACTTTGAACATCGAGAAAACATAAAATCAGCATATGAATTTTACGAAATTTGATTCAGTCAAAATCCTTAAATTTCCTGAAAACTTTCTAAAATTAAATTCCTATCAAGTAAGTCGATTATCTGCACAAATTGCAAAGTAATGCAACTTGCCACAAGGCAAAATGCAGCTTACATTTAGTTATACTTTACAGTTAGTTACAGGACGAGATTATGTTACTAGAGAAACATATTTTTTGTTTATAACATAACATTATCAATAAATTTGAGATGATTTAGATAAAATAGATAAAACCAATCTCAATCTCGATTTAAATATGTTTGTCATTTAGAGATATGTAATTATAATTTAACACGTTTGCGGCCGTGAATGCTATAGCATTAATTTTTATTGAGAAGCAGAATGACATGAATGCTATGGCATTCAAATTTAAAAGTCAACTATTTTGAACTTAATTTAACATAATCTCACATTTTTGTAATTATTATACCTGTCAAGGTAAAGACAAACTGATTCTTTAAGTATTTTCGTTTGGACAAGCGCAGTGTGTAAAATAGAATCGTAATACTTGACGTGGATGCTACAGCATTCACAGTACAAAACTGTTAAAATATGACAATCTGTGAACCCTTATAAATGGTGTTCAATCATTTTTCAGATATCGCACCCAATTTAAAAATAAAATGACCGTCAATTTTTTTTATTATTAGGTGAAGCTCGTTCATCGAGATGTACAAAACAAAATGAGATTTTTGTTACTTGTGGGTCAAGTTGCCCTCTAACCTGCTCAAATTGGAATTCAGATCGTTTCTGCACATCAGACTGCGTAATTGGCTGCGAATGTGAACCAGGATTCGTTAGAGACAACCAGGAAGAGTGTATACCACCAAAACTATGCCCTCATCAGTAGTTATTGTTTCTGATAATAAATATTTATATAAAATTGTATTGATGTTGATATATAAATAAATATTTTCAACATTAAAATAGTAGTCATCATTAATGTATAAAATCACAACTTTGGTTTATTGACATGTGAATATATAGTTTGTAAGATGTGAGCACATTTAAAAAATAAAGACTCAAGTAACAAGTTCCTATAGCTTCCCTATACATTCAGAAAAATTGCATACAGATTAAAAAAACAGTATAATATGAATAATCTATTGTTAATAGAAATATATTGTTCCTTGAAGATAAAATTCAACTTAGATTTTAGATCAACATAATGTTAATCGAAATTTTGAAATTAGAAATATTCTCCACAAAAAATCAATTATATAGCGGGTTAAAAAATAATATTTATTCATAAATTTAAAATAAACAAGTTACATGAACTTCCCGATATGTTTAAATAATCGACTTAATCAATAAAAAATAAATTAATTTATGAGTCATTAAAAGTATTTCGAGTGAATTTATTACACATAATTGAAAACGAACGAACACTTTGACTCGGAGTATTTTCTAAAAGCAAATTTTCAAAAATCAATAATTTTTATAATTGAACCAATTTCCAGGACTTTAATGGTTTATTATGTTCAAGACCAAGTACTTATGCCAAGTAAATAGTCTAATTTTAATTTTAACAAATGTCAAAACTACTCATTTTCTCAAACTTTGATGAATTTTTAAAATTCATTTTCTCAAACTATTTATCGTAAGGCCGTAATATTTCAGTAAGTTTTATAAGACCATGATATATATCGTTAAAAAAAATCCATAAAAATCGACTTTTTTCAACAGTTAATTACAAGAAAACGGCTCGGTAGATTTTCACCTAAAACTAATCAGTTTCATTCCCAACTAACATCTTTCAAACAGTTTTTAATTTTTTAAAATCGGTTCGGTAGGATGAGCTTAAATGTGGACGAAAAGTTTAACACTTTTTTTTAAATTACAAAGAAACGGCTTGGCAGATCGTCGCACAAAACTGACAAACGATGGTCCTCACCGAAATCCATCAAATGGCTTTTAAACTTCTGAAACCGGTTCAGGCGTTTTTGAGAAAACGTCGATGAAAGTTCTAATTTTGACAAATGTCAAAAAAACGATACCAATTTTTGCAAACTTTGACGAAGTTTTAAAGCTAAACCAGTTGTCGTAGTGCCGTAATATTTGAGTGTGATATAGAAGACTATGGTATTTACCGCCAAAAAAAAAATCGCCGAATTTTTTTTTAAACTTTATTACAAGAAAACGGCCCGGCCGATCTTTACCAAAAACTAATCAGCACGATTCCCAACCAAAATCTTTCGAACGGCTTTTGAATTTTAAAAATCGATTCAGAATTGCGGGCTAAAACGTAGACGAAAATTTTTTTACTTGTCTGCGACTTATAAAGAAACGGCTTGGCCGATCGTCGCACAAAACTGACAAACAATAGTTTCATCGAGATACATCAAATGGGTTTTAAATTTTTGAAATCGGTCCAGCCGTTTTTGAGAAAACGTCGATTTACGACAAAAAATCTGTTCACACACACACACACACACACACATACTTTTTCCAAATTTGGTCTCATTCGATTCAGAATGGTTTGAAACGTTGAGAAAACATAAAATTAGCGAATCGAATTTTTTGATGAAAACAAACTTTTCCTTCGGGAAGTTAAAAATTTAAAGATATTTTTATTTGAATTTTTTTAGCAAATGTATAATTTAAATATTTATGTTCATTATATTCCATACTTCATTATTGTCTTATATTTAATATTGTATGTCTCATAAAATTTATTTCATTTTCCAAAACCAAATGCTGTTTTAACTTATTTAATATATTTATAACTGTGAGTATAAATATTTAAATGTAAATGCATATGTTTTAAGATAAAAGTTTCTGCTTATTTTTAGTAACATAATAAAATGTATAATTTAATTATTTCATGGTCGGATAAAATTTATATAAAATCAATTATCCATAGCAATTCCGTTTGGAATTTGCGACAAATTGTTTTTTTTTTGCACATAAATATATGTATATAAAAGTAAGACTTGTAAAATGAATGCAAAACTAAATTTCAAAGTGCAAGAAAAATAGTTGTAATATAAAAATGCAAACTGTTACATGGCCTTTCTTGATATTCGTGATTTTGACGTTAAATTCAAGTAAGAAGCATAAATAAAATATATACGATAAGTAACATTATTTATAAATTGATAATTGATTTTCATTTCTGAATATTAATATCTATTTCCTGACTTAGATGTGAATAAGAACATTATTATATCAATCAAAAATGACATTTTGGGAAAATGTGATAGATATATTTATGGGCCAATTTTGGAATATCGTATGTATTTTATGTTAATAGTCTTCCACAAATAAGAGTACCTTGAAGATTTTGTAGTCTCGGTGAACAAATTTTATTTGCATAATATTTTTCTCAATGTGTTGGTAGTCACATTACTTTCAAAAAGTTAGACATCTGGATTTCAGCATTTTTTAACTTCCCGAAGCAGAAGTTAATATTCTCATAAAAAAATCCGATTCTGAATCGAATGAGACCAAATTTGGAAAAAGTATGTGTGTGTGTGTGTGTGTGCGCGTGTGTGTGTGTGAAAAGATTTTTTGCGGTAAATCGACGATTTCTCGAAAACGGCTGGACCGATTTAAAAATTTAAAAGCAATTCGATGTATCTCGATGAGGACTATTGTTTGTCAGTTTTGTACGACGAAAGTAGTTAAAATTTTCGATACTGCCAATGGTTAAAAACTAATATACAAGTACAGATATCAAAAATACATTAGTTCAATTTCACGCATATTTTATTTATAAACAAAACATTAAAGTACCTATAATTTTGATTTTAGCTCTTTGGCACTATATAGCTACAAAAAATAGCTGTTTTTGCAACACTAAAATTTTTTTTATTCACTACTATATTTACAACTTGGGAATGCAATACCGGTATACCGGTATACCAAATTACCGGTAAACCGCCCGATTTTTTGGCGGTATTTTTACCGGTACTTTTCCCAAAAATACCGGTAATTTCGGTATTTTTACATAAGCGCTATTTGATACATAATACACCAAAATTTTAAATTTCTCGGAACAAATTTATCTTTAAATTCCATAATCGCATAAACAGCTATATCTTCAAGTGATTCTATAAGATAAACAAATGTCAAATATTATCTCAACTTGGCATTAAACTGAATATTTATTGCTTTACTAAGGGCTTCATATCGTGTTACAATAAATAGAATCGGTCTGATAGATAATGATATTTGCTTCATCTGATGTAAAATAATGTAACGGTTTTTTAAGTGATATTTGCGCCAAAATATTTCATCATACAGATTATCCCTGCGTAATCTTTATTTTTTTCTAACTTTATACATAATAATTCTGATAATTACTAAATATTTTTTCTTCTTATTGCAATTATAAAATATTATTTTTCGACAACGTTTCGAAGTTTGAAAATACTATAGAAGCATCACATTGTTTTAAATAACAATACTCAACAATTATAGCAACTTATTATTTATCTCGACAAAGAATCCGATCTTAAATTATTGTAGAAAAAATATTTTTTTTAAATATTGGAGATTATGCTAATTTAACACATCGGATACAGACAATACAGTTTATTATAATAATGTAATATGATCTTTTATGAGTTTTTGGTCTTTCTTACTCATAAGTTTGTTTTCGTGAAAAGTACTCAATATACTCGATTGTAATAATGAATTAATTAAATTGGATATGCTTTTGTTAAATTATTATTTAAAAAAATAAACTTATTGTTTTATTTTATTGTTTTTATTGTTTAGTTGAATATAGTTGTAGTTTTATAGACATTTTTTTACATTTGTACTGGTAACTTTCAATTTTGTATACATATGTTTACGATAATAAAAATACCGGTAATTTACCGGTATTCCGGTTTTAAAATTAAAAATTACCGAAATACCGGTATTGAAATTTTCGATCGGTATTGCATTCTCTATTTACAACTGTCCAGTTAAGTTAACTGTTGAACGAAATAAATATGACCTTACCGTAAGACGTGTATCCGTGAATAGGAGTCCATTATTATTTTTCGCAAATTTTTTTTTTGATCTGGTATAACTACTTACGAAATTTTATCCTGAAGTTCAAGGTCAATTTTATGAAGAATATACAATGGAATGCGCAGAAGAGCAAAATCTGGTGTACACCGATTGCGGGTCATCTTGCCCTCCGACCTGCGAAGATTGGAATCAAATAAGAAAGTTCTGCAAATCGAAGTGCGTCTCCGGCTGCGAATGTAAGCCAGGATTCTTTTTAACCGACGATGGTGAATGTATTCCACCACTTATGTGCCCTTATATGAATAAATATCCGTACCGAAATTAAACATTACTGGAATAAAATTAATGCACAAGTTTATTATTGGTTAATAACAATTATACTTTGTATATTTTCTAATAAATTATTGTAACTATGTGCTGTCAGTTTTAGCATTCATATTTTCTAGGCCTGAAATGCACTAATGCTTATAAGTGTACAAACAAAGTATTTAAATATGAACAATGCTCGTATGTATTGTTTACAATCAGGATGAATCCATGAGATGATCTAATTTCATATTCCTATGAGTTAAATAAAATAGTAATAATAAAAAGATAATAATTGACTTTTAAAATCAGTATCTCTATTAGATTAATTATGTTATAAGTTAAATAAAGGCTGTGAAAAGTTTTTGTTTTAGTAAAAACTTTGTGTAAATTTAATTTTTTTAAAATTGGAAAATTTCAATTTTTTTTCAAAATCTTAACTTTGAGAATTAAGATTTTTTTGCAAGTTTTGAATTTTTTTGGAAATTTCGATTATTTTTGTAAATTTCAAAAATTCTAAAAGTTTTAGCTTTAAAAAAAAGAATCAGTTTTTGGATTTGAATTATGACAAATCACAAAATTAAAAAATAGCTGTAGGAATTCTGTCTTAAGGCAATTAAGGCATCGTGCCTTAAGGCAAATTGCTGGAACTTCCCGTACCGCAATTCAAAATTAGAGTAATTAAAAATAATCAATAATAATCGATAAAAGTTGATCAATGATTTGAAACTTTTAATAAAATTTCGAACCATATTAAATCATTCTATCTTAAATCATTTATTTTGAAATATTTTGAAAATTCTAAACTTTTTTTCAAAGCAATCGTACTGCTTAAACTGCATAAAGACGAAATATCGAAGCGCGTAAGCGCCGCGTCGCCGTTTAACGCGTAAACATTGGTACGGAACCCATAGGAATGCAAACAAAATTAATAATTATTGTTAAAATCTCCATAAAATATCTGATAATTTGATGTGCATATGTCTAATGATCATTTTTGACCGCCAAATGGCATTTTTTTTTTACTTTTTTTATTAGATCTCCGAAACCGCTAGACCTGCTTTTATGAAAATGTGATCAATTCTTCGTCTTGTCAATACAAGTAAAATGGTTTTTGAAGTATTAAAATCGGACGCTCCGTTCTCTTAAAAACTGAGTTACCGTTTTCGTCAATTTTGCCCCGATTCTTCGGAAAGGCTAGACCTGCCTTTGCCAAAAACTAATCAGCTAGCTATTATTGTAGAAATTAGCACGTAAACTTATTGCAAAATTGTATCAGTGAATTGTTTCATGAACCGACAAAATTTATATAAAATCAATTATGCATGGCAAATTTATTTTTAATTTGCGAGAAATTGTTTTTTACACATAAATACAGGTATATGAATGACTTAAAAAAAACCTTGAATTTCAAAGTGTTATAGAAATAGTTTCAGCTTAAAAATGCAAACTGTTATATACCTATGGCTCTTCCTGATTTTTGTGATTTTGACATTAAATTCAAGTAAGAAACTTTTAATATTAATAAAGTAATTAAAGTATAGCTATTTACCAAATTTCATTATCAAGTTGAAGCTCAAGATGGCATGTCCAAAATTATATGTCCCAAAAAAAATCAGGTTTACAACAAATGCGGGACAGGTTGTCCTCTAACCTGCCGCGATTGGAATAAATTGGCAAGGAACTGCCATGCGATGTGCTTTGTTGGCTGCCAATGTGCCCCAGGATTCTTTTTGGACGACAAGAATGAATGCATTAACCCAAATCTTTGCCCTTATATGGAAAAGAAAAATGAAGAATTGGATTATTATTATTAACTCGTTCGCTGCAAGAGTGATTGCCGCAGCAAAATGCTCAAGTATTTTTTGTACACAATTTGGACAAAATACAATTTTCAATAATTTAACTCAGAGTAATGAATATTGAAGCAAAATCTGTCATCTATAGGCGACATTCATATACAGATCGTCAAGCAAATGTCGTCATATAAGAAATATATCAGATTTTATACATTCAACTTCAATAAGACCATTCAAATTGTCAGACTAATGTGTCTAATTGTCAGAATAATGATCATTATTAAATATCATATATTATTCTTGGTATGTAGAAATAAAATAAATACAACAAGTTGGTATTGGTATTTTGCTTTAAGGCAAGTTACATGAATTTCCCGATATGTGTAAATAATGGATTTAATCAATAAAAATAAATTAATTTATAAGTGATTAAAAGTATTCCGAGTGGATTTATTACACATCATTGAAAACGAACGAACACGTTAACTAGGAGTATATTCTAAAAGCAAATTTTCACAAATTAATGATTTTTGTAATTGAACCAGTTCCCATAGGACTTTAGTGGTTTAATATGTTCATTAAGACCAAAAACTCTATCGTTATACCAAGTAAATCCTCTAATTTTAATTTTAACAAAAGCCAAAAAAAACTACTCATTTTCTCAAATTTTGATGAATTTTTAAAATTAAAACTACTTGTCGTAAGGCCGTAGTATTTCAGTAAGTTCTATAAAACCATGATATATACCACCAAAGAAAATTTCACAAAAATCGGCTTAAATTTTTTTTCTCAACAGTTAATTACAAGAAAACGGCTCGGTAGATTTTCACCTAAAACTTATCAGTATCATTCCCAACTTCGAAAAATTTTTGATTTTTTTAAGTTTTTTTTTAACTTCCCGTAGGGTAAGTTATTGTAATGGGCCGAAAATCGGAATTGAAAATTTTTACATTTCTCGACGTTTTGAAGGTTTCTGAACGTTTTGGCATACCTCAGAAAAAATGGATGTGTGTGTGTGTGTGTGTGTGTGTGTGTGTGTGTATGTATGTATGGATACAAATTTTCGTCCACGTTTTCGGGCGTACGGATCAACCGATTTGAATGGTTTAAAAAACATTCGATTCCTATTAATAAGGAGAAGAGCTGATTAGTTTTTGGCAAAGACAGGTCCAGCAGTTACGGAGATAAGGAGCAAAGAGTGCAGAAAATAGAAATCGAGTTTTTGAGAGAACGGAGCATCCGATTTGAATGATCTAAAAAACATTCCATTAGTAATGATTGGGAAAAAGGGTAATTAGTTTTTCGCAAAGGCAGGCCCAGCCATTTCGGAGATACAGAGCTAAATGTACAAAAAATGGCAGTTTTTGAGAGAACTAAGCGTCCGATTCAATTGATTCAAAGAACTTTCTGCTTGTCTTAACAAAATAATTGATTTTGGAAAAAAAAATTTTGTACCATCTTTTTTTTTTTTTTTTTTTTTTTTTTTTTAAATTTTTGTATATCGAAAATAATTCAGATTTTATTTTTATTTCTGACTATAGTTCTAATATACTTTAAACAAATAATTTCAACTCTGCAATTCAGTTTATATAATTATTATAAATATTAGACAATAATACAATATTTATAATAATCTATTTGAAAACATTCAATATTCCTCGAACGTTTCGTTACGGTACGGGAAGTTCCAGCAATTTGCCTTAAGGCACGATGCCACCCACCCCACTAGTTTGAGTTTTTTACCGAAATCGATTCGGTAGTATGAGCTTAAATATGGACGAAAGGTTTAACAATTTTTTTCAAATCACAAAGAAACGGCTCAGCCGATCGTAGCACAAAACTGAGACACGATAATCCTCATCGATACATCAAATAGTTTTTAAATTTCTAAAATCTGTTCAGGCATTTTTAAGCAAACGTCGATGAAAGTTCTAATTTTGACAAATGCCAAAAAGACCATACTTATTTTTGGAAATTTTGATGAATTTTTAAAGCTAAACGAGTTGTCGTAGGGCGGTAATATTTTAGCATGATCTAGAAGACTATGATATCTACCGTCAAAAAATAATCATAAAACTCGTCGAATTTTTTTTAAAAAAAAATTTATTACAAGAAAATGGCCTGGCCGATCTCTACCAAAAACTAATCAGCGCGATTCCCAACCAATATCTTTCGAACGGTTTTTGAATTTTCAAAATCGATTCAGAATTGCGGGCTAAAACGTGGACGAAAAATTTTTCACTTTTCTGCGATTTATAAAAAAACGGCTTGGCCGATCGTCGCACAAAATTGACAAACAATAGTCCTCATCGAGATACATCGAATGGCTTTCAAATTTTTGAAATCGGTCCAATCGTTTTTGAGAAAACGTCGATTTACGGCAAAAAATCTGTTCACACTCACGCACACACACACACATACTTTTTCCAAATTTGGTCTCATTCGATTCAGAATGGCTTGAAACGTCGAGAAAACATAAAATTGGCGAATCGGATTTTTTTATGAAAACATAAACTTCTCCTTCGGGAAGTTAAAAATTGAACTACTGATCAAAGTTCAATTTTAAGGATTTAGTTCTTAATAGCAAATGCTTTATCGAATGGTTTTTAAATTTAAAAAATTGGTCCAACCGTTTTTGGGAGAACGGCGACAAATGGTCAAAAATCGTCTAGCACACATACACAGATACTTTTTCCAAATTTTGTAAAATTAGCAAATCGGATTTTTTTTTTCTCATAAACATAAACTTCTACTTAGGCAAGTTATTAATATTATAATAATGGAATAAAACTAATTTTAATCACAGTTTAAGTCTAACTTTGCCTGTCAGAAAATTTCTACTGATGTCGCAGATTATGCCAGTTTTGAATTAATGAATATCTATATTTAAATAAAAAATTATGCGTTCTGTAAATATTATGTATTTGGATAACTAATAACAAATATGTGTTTTAATTGTGTTGTCAAATACTAAGATTATGAATAGGTAAAATTGAAAATAACTGGTTATTTGTTAGAAATCGACATAACTAGTTGTGTATGGCATCGTGACGCAATGCAAATTGCTGGAACTTCCACACATACACGCACACACATACTTTTTCTAAATTTGGTCTCATTTGATTCAGAATTGCATGAAACGTCGAGAAAACATAAAATTAGCGATTCGGATTTTTTGATAAAAACAAACTTCTCCTTCGGGAAATTAATAATTATACTAAAATTTACTTTTCAAAAAAAGGCAGTTATTTTTGTCGATTGTTATTGTAAAATACATAAAAATATTATTGTTAAAAATCCTAAACGGTACTATTTATAAAAAAACTAACGTTGTAATTTTCTATTCAACAATATTATTGCAGTAGTAAATATAGTAATATAGTACAAATATTCATGTGGACAAACCAATTACACTATTTTTACGTTAAAGTTTGTTTTTAGTACACGTTAATTACTACATGTACATAAATAAATTACTAAAATAAACCGGTATATAATTTTAGCATACTTTTGCAAAAACAATGCGCATTTAGTCATCTTATAAATACACATGCAGTGAGATGAGACATCTTAATTCATTTTTGTGAAGAATACTACAAACGTATTTAAAAAAAATCAGAAAGTTTCAAAAATTACTAGAAATTGAAATTTTTAAAGTATTGTTTTGATATTTGAAACTCTAGTAACAGAAAATAGTGAAAAGCATTTTTATCAATGGAATCAGTTTCAAGAAAATAGTGCAACGTGAATTTGTTCAAAGACACCCTGGGAAGTAGGAAATTTTTTGTAAAGGACTCAATTAATGGGTGTAAGTATAAACAAAACTATTTCAAACTGATCTTATAAAATTGTAATGTTTCAAAATTTTAATCTATCTATTACCATTTAGATGTTCCCTTTGATCTGTCTCTGCATATCAATTGGATTAGCACAAACAAGTCCAATTTCAGGACCTTTTTCTGATAATGAAATAGAAATCGTGGATTTTGGATCACCAAAAATTCCAAAAATAGATGTATCAATACCAATATTGGATTTAGAAGCAGAAGAAACTGTATATTATCGTTATAATAATGCTCCATTATCGTACAGGAGACCCGAGGAAAGGATTTATAGGAAAAAGTTTTATGCTTCGCCTGTTGCTGCTAGGGGAGGCGGGGGTTGATAAAAAAATTAAGGAGAAAAATTAATTTATTTTTATTGAACTCTAAGTTGAAAATTTGTAGAATAGTCGATTAGGATAGGTTTTATATTTTTGTAATCATAATTTATTTATTAGACATTAGCTTAAGTTAACCAATTATTGAATTTTGTAAGATTTCACTATATTAGTTAATGTCAGAATTATTTTTAATAATGTAAAATTTAAGTGATGTTTAATATAATTTTTTAAAGCATTTTCTAGAATTTATATTAAATTGTTTTTTTTTGAATCGACGCTCCATGAATTTAATATAATATTTTAGTATATATATATATATATATATATATATATATATATATATATATATATTATGAAAATTGGTACAGCTGTTTTTAGGGAAAACTTTGGCCAAAAGGTCACGTTCACATATATTTCTACACATGTATCTTCTAAATTCAATCCTATTCGATTCAGAATGACTTGAAACGTCGAGACAACATGAAATTAACAAATCGGATTTTTAAGGGAAAACAAACTTCTCCTTTGAAAAGTTAAAAAAAATTAGTGTTTAATATAATTATTATATTAAATGATTTATATAAATTTTTTATTTTTAAAAATAACCACTTTTTTAAGCACATATTGTTTTCTGTATTATATTTGAAAATTGTACAAACTCTTGATTATAAACTTTAAGAAGTGAAATCACTATAAATTATTCTCCTTATTAGTGTTTTCCAATTGAAATGAATCAAAATGATTTAGTAATCATCAGTGATTTACTTTTACATCGATATTGTGACGATCTTAGAAAAATATTCTATTGCAGAATACGATTGTGCAATTTAGACAAATATTTTATAACATATATTCC